ATCCTGGGACTCGAATATTCTCTACTATTGGCAATGTGCTGCCTTTCTACTTTCGGTTCTTCCTATCCGATAGTAACTAGCAACCGGAAACTACTTTGTAAGTGTAAGGCGTCTTTTCTTTTGTTTTTAGGCGGGGTCGTATTACTTTCAGGTGCTCGACTGGTACGCGACTCCTATCAGTCTCATCCTAATTGCTTTGGTGGAGATTATCAGCCTGTCCTATGTTTATGGTAAGAAATTATACATTTCCTTTGAATGAAAAATTTAAGATTTAAAAAGGCATTGATATTCATATTACTACTCGGTTTGTCATTCCTCAGCCTGTGTGATTTTGGCAGGTGGTCGGAAAAATGCACATTCTCAATTCATCATCTTGACGTGAGTGAAATATCTGGCGATTATTTTGCCTAGCCAAGAACCACTTTTCCAGGGTTCACTTTATGATTTTTTCTTTTTATCCTTCATTAGGAGCTCGGAGGTTGTTTGCGAACGCCGAGTCAATGCTGGGCAGGATTCATAAGCTGAGTAGGATGTGGTGGCTCATCAGTTGGTATGGTTTAGTTCCCCTCTTCACTATTATCATTTGCATCTCCGTCTTCGTCGATTATGCGCCTCCAGCGTTCACAAACGGTCAACTCCTTCCTACCTGGGCAATCGCATTTGGATGGTGCGTAGCCCTCATTTCGATCCTGCCAATGCCTGCCGTAGCTCTCTTCCAACTTTTCAAGAACTGGAGACAGCCCTCTGTGGTGAGTCCTGTAAAACAAAACTGCTTTTCTGACATTTAAGACGCAGCAATGCCACTGGTCACAGCTGGTTCGTCCCTACTAAATTGTGGCGTACAGCATATCGTCAACTTGGATCCTTTGAAGACAAATACAAAAACACCAGTCTATAAATTCATTGGATAGCTATTCCATTCAACTTAGTTGCGAAGATATAAGGCTTCTCGTGTGTTGTATTGTTGTCCAGTAAAATAGGGCTGAATTCATTTGATTACCGTTTTCATGCGAATCAGTTCATAGTACGTAGCGTTG